TTGAAGTTACAACTTAAAATTGCTGTGGATATTTGGGTGACTGTACTTGCACTTCTTCAGTATTACTTGTGAGTGAATTACCACAATTTTTCACACTACACCGCCCAGAGTCGAATGGCGGATTCCTGCGTGCGTAGTTTGTTGCTACAGACTCAGAGTCAGTGCTCATTCATTTCAAAAAGCAGGTGAAACTCAGGAAAGAGGATTTTCAGGCTCAGAGATATTATATGAAAGACCTACAGCAGTTAACATGACTAACAACCAGAACCCCAAATCATCCCGTACTAGCTCTGTACGGCAAGAACTCATTTGCCTCTTTAACAGAATACTATCCGCAGTCCTCCTAGGATTAGCTCTTGGTATGATTGGGTTTGGGAATTTTTTTTTACAGAAAATCCACAATGAACAAAACATATTCAAGCTCCAGTCCCTCTGGCTATCATTGTGAAGTAGAAGGAAAACCAGCTTTTACAATATAAAACAAGGAAAACACTCCACCTAAGCTGCCAACAGTGACTCGTAATTCTTTCTGTCCTGTCCACATGGCACAACTGCCTTGTCACCACGCAGTTTTCAAGCTACCCCAGCGAGGCAAAACAATAACAAATAAATTAAAAGCGTTTTTTGCTAAATTGAGTTCTGTATCTTACCGAGATACAGATCCTAAAACCACAAGTATTGTTCAGCACTTCCAGTCTAATGACAATAGCGCGATCACTCACTCGATATTACTAGTTTATCTAGTTTGACTGAGCTTGTTGAACCACCTTGAAACTAATTCCTTTTATTCATGTATCCTAAGAGACTCAAGGTGAAATTCTGAGCTCTGGAAGAGTTGGATCTCCTATGCTTCGTAATTTTGGACATTTGGAAATAACGCCATGGACTAAATTCTAATCTACAAAGAACATGAACGTTGTATTGCCACACACCATAAGGAATAGTGGACAATTACTTTAAAGAATTCTTTGGGGTATTATTTCGGTTTTGTTTTGCGAGGTTTTTTTAATAATCTTTAAATGTACTTACAGCTACACTAATAACTGTTTCTCAATAATACTCTTATTGCCAGATATTGCCACGGGACATAACTAAAAATTAAGAGTAGCAGAAAATCTTCTCCTACTAAAAATGACACTTCAGTTATTGAAAGTTTCACACTGATTTTTTTCCAACTTTTCTGCACATTTCTATTCCAACAGGTCATAAGTTAGCTAATACCTTTTGCCACCCCCTTACAAATACATGCCCCTGTTACTTTTGATTGCTGTTTCAGTGGTTGCACACACCTTTCTGTGTGTTGGAATGCAAGAACAAACCCACTGAAATGTGCTTTATCGTCTTGCAAAAGGAGGAAAAGGAAGTATGTCAACAAGAAACATAGCTATTTTATCAACAGATTAAGAACAAAACCTTTCTGGGAAATCTGACACAAAAATGAAGAAAACTAGCCCCAATACAAAACTGCCAAGAAAGGATGTTTAAGCAAGCACGTCATTTCTGCATGCCATTTCTCAGGCATTATCTTCACCTTGCTCCAGGGGCAAAGACAATCGGCAGAAGGCACCAAAGCACTTTATACTCAACGTTTTTGCAGCTTTTTAACCCAAAACTCAAGAGTCACCAGTAGCACTTGGCACCTGCATTACGGTCTACATAGGTCAGATTATAGGATCAGGGACGCCTTTTGGGACATCTGAACCACGGAAGCTCATAAACAAAAACGTGATCAAAAGACAGTGTCTGTACTGGGAGCCGCTATCAGTGCCTTGGTCTGACCCAAGCTTCAGCTGGAGTTAGCAACTCACTGCACCATTCTGAGCACTGAAATTAGTCACAAATTTCAGTCGTCTTTTCACCTCTGCCTCTGTGCTATTTGTTGCTACAGAACTTACTCATGACACATGAAAAAGAAAATAAAAGTGGTAAATGAAAACAGCTTGCTTGATAAACAGAACTAAGTAACACGGACTATGGAGTGCTCTTCATTTTTGAAGGATAACTGCAGAACTTCCTTCTGTTCCTACATCTACCACATCACCAAGCTCCTTGCACTCATGTTTTTTGAGGAATTCAAGGTGAATGAACAGTGCAATCCAGAAACCAAAGTGCTCTTAAAGAAAGTGTTCTTAATTTATTTTTTTGAGTAATGCTAAGCATTTTGTCTCTGCCCCAAGTTACCTACAGAATTCAGAGTTCTGTAGACAGGCGGGTGTGCAGAGAAAAGATGCAGAAATGTAAACGTTTGATATCAGGAAGGTCACAAGATTTCAGTAAGATAAAGACGAAATACGTTATTTGGTACCCTTGCAAACTGTTCAAACAGATAATTAGATTAATTTTTGCCAGAATGATTAAATATCTTCTACATATTGCATTACAGGTTCAAATATATCTGCATAAGATATATAGTGGGTCTGAAATGATGAAAATTGGTTTCACTTGTTAATATTCTTTTATGGTTCAAATAGCTTTAATTTTTTAATATTATGACTGTTTTACAACTGAAGATATGATATTCTCTGGGGCATTAAGAAAATTTATTTTGATAGCGAGATATAACTGCTCAAACTTTCTTTGAAGAAAAACTTGGAAAAAATTCAGATTAGGTTGGAAGTATAAAACTCACATTTTGTGACTGCAAGAAAAATACCTTTAGAAATAGACATTATCAATCTATTTTCTAATCTTTTAGAATTAAGATTGATTTTTCCTGTAGCAGTATGTCTGTGCTGAAAATTAAAAATACATTAAAGAACTGATTATTATGTATTTTATATAGCTTCCTCTTCTCCCACCCACAAATAACTGGCATAGAATTAACCAATTAAAAGCAGAGAGATAAATAAACTAATTCAACATTTACTGCGTCCTAGGGAGAAGGAATGCATTCCCAGCAACTTTTTCAGAGCCTGCAGAACTCCGTGTATTACAGAAATGGTTCTGCCTATTGTCCAGCCTATTTTAGTGAAAGCCATAGCACAGTCTACTGTCAGTGGAGGACTGATTCACTCTCTGCGGATATGGAAAGATCAGTCCATAAAAAAAAAAAAAAAGAAGTCAATTTTATAGGAGTACGTGACTTTTTTCTTTTCTTCCTTTCTTTCACCACACAGTAGACTTTTCAATCTGACAGACAAGTAAAACTTTATAGTGGTAACACATTACTTTTCCTGAAAAGTGCTATTAATATAGAATTCCAACAATACTCTTGATAACGTAAGTTCCCAGATAAGAAACTCTGCAGATACCTACTGTTAGCTCAATATGAGCAACACACACTGTCTGATCAATATCAATATCCCAGCCTGGGAGAGAGAGAGGCCAAAAGCATCCCAGATGCCTGTGACAGACAAACACGCACAGCCACCACTCCCAGGTCCCTCAGGAAGCTGAACTTGCTGCTGCTGAAACTGATGGCAAAACTCCTTTGAGCATCAGTCCGAGGGTGGGTAGAGCCCTTGAGGAAGAATTCCCAATATTATTCACATGCATATTCAAAACCACTGTGGTGCGTGGCACAGCGCTGCCTATAAAGGCCATTGTATTGCCTGTTCTCGGAAGCAAAGGCAAAGCCTTGAGTCTGCTGAATCTCCAAGGTGCCAGGACTGTGTGAGGCAGGTGCTGGCTTTACCCATCTACCATTTGCTGTTTCATACCGTGTAATTTAAGGGCAAGCTTTTCAGCAGCCTGAGCAGGCCTTCCCTGCTGTATTTAAGCATATACGGTTTCAGTGCTGGACCAGTATTAACTCCAGTTCAGATGTTGAGGGTCTGAATTTTGGAGGGGTCCCCCCGGCTCCCTCTCCATTTTGGCTTAGGACTGTGTGCTTTCACAGGTATTAACACATTCAGCTTTGCGGCAGTAACTTTCAGGTAACAGGGAAAGCTTTATATCAGTTCATACAGTCAAAACCTATTCCAGAAAAGGTCTCTAAGTGAACAAGGAACTGTTAGTAATAAGCAAATTATCTGCTTAGATACTGATTTCTGGGTAATATTGGATTTTACATTACAATAATGGTGCTCTAAATCTAATGTGCTTTTTCTCTGTTAGAGTCAGCTTTCACTGTCAAATCCCTTTTTTCTTTTTTTGGTCTGTGCTGCAGCTTTAACAGCTGATGTGTAAAGTTTGTGGTACGTGAAGAGCACAACGTGGTGTTATTTCAGCCCTCAGAGAAGGATCCTCCCCAAAAGCCAATGACTGCACTGAACAAGCCTGCCAAACGCCCGTCTCTCCTCCCTCTTACATACCAAACACCTTTTAAACAGCTTTTTGTCTAGGGCAATAGTCTGATATCTCATAATATTGCTCCCCACAAACCTGTTACCCATCCGCTACTCGACATTACGCAGACCTGGCCGGGTTTCTGGCTGCAGAGCATA